ATGAGCAATCACATTATATGATCATGGACCATAGCCTAATATGATCGGGCCCGAGCTAGTGGACCTAATCACTCACATCAAGATATATGTGTGCAGCGGTGCATCTCCATGCCCTGTGATCATTCATCTCATCCTCATCGGTTCTGTCGACATCTCGGCGTATTTTCATGCTTTGCCATCATTTATCTTGGCCTCGTGGGTCTCGCTATCACTTCCACGCTCCTGTTGCGTCACCTCGTGTGATTACAACTTAATCATAGGCATGTTGACCCAACAATAAATGAGAAATAAAGTGGTGGCTCGCAAACCCCAATAATAATAATAATCATAAGTACACACACATCACACGGTCTCTAATCATTCGTCCACATCATACATCACATATAAATATCATTATTTAGCACTACTAGATAATAATAATAATAATAATAATTAATTTTTTTAATTAATTAATATTTTTTGATATTGGGGGCATGCAATGAATTTTTTGAATTATGAGGGGTATTTTGATAATTTAGATAGAAAGGACAAAAACTAGAATTTTTTCAAAAATTTTGAGGGGCAAAAATATCTTTTGCCTAAAAACCTAGTTCCCCTCACTACCTCCTATGTTGTGGCCCCCATCGCTAGCAGCGGGCGGGGTCATCGCCTCTGCCCACGGGCGGCGTGGTTACTGGCAGCATCGCCAATGCAGGCATGTACCCTACGGGCGTAGCACCCCTGCGGGTGCCAATGCCCCTGTGGGCAAGTGTGCCTGCGCGCGAGGCTGCCCCTCGGGCTGGCGCCCTTGCAGGTGGGCGCCCCTATGGGTGCCATCTCTGTTGGTGCCTTGCTCGCAGGTTGCCCACGGGCGATGGTTGCCCCTTGCGGGTGACGCCCCTGTATATGAGCATCACTTGGAAGAGGGTTCGCCCCGAGGCTCAACACCCGCTAACGAGCCCTTGCACGTGAGCACAGTGCCCGTGTGTAGGCGGCCTGCCCTATAGGTGGCTTGCCTATGGGCGGACGATTGCCCCTCCAACGGCCGTTTGCAACCCTTGCACACAAGTGGCCTGTTGCAGGTGGCCGAGACCTCCCTTGGGAGCTCTTGGCCAAGGCTGCAAGCAGCCTTTGGCCAACCTGCGAGGGCAGCAATTGAGGGCAGTAATAATTGCTGCCCTCTCTTGCCTTTTACATCAAAAATTTCGATGGCAAAAGTCTTCCTAAATACAACACACGTAATTTAAAACTAATCTATCGCACGAACAACCTGGCTCTGATACCACAGTAAGGAATTCTGTGGGCGACATCATATGCGCAATGGAAGAACAAAAAATAAAAATCCCCACATTTTTCATAAATTATGTTCATCATCTTGTAAAGATTGGTGCATAAAATCTATAAAATTGAAAACTGTATATATGAAAGATTGTGTTACCTAGGGAGATCGTTTATCCCTGAATCCCTATAGATATGTAGGAAATGGTGAATGAGGTCAAGCGTCCTCCTCTCTAGTGGTGATCCACATAACAAGGCTACGATGACGCTTCTTAAATCTCCAGGCCTACTATCTGAGGAGGAGAAGGAGAGAGGAGAATAGGAGGTGGTAACCAAAAGAAGCTCTAGCCTTTGGGTCTTTGGTTCCCTCATATTTATAGAGGTCCCTTATCTACTTAACCCTAATGGATCCTGTCCTATTGGGTATTGGAACGACATCCAACTACCCAAGCCTCTTAGATTAGTGGATCTCCATCCAATAATCTCTCATTGGCTCTTATTAGATCTCATCCATAGGATCCAATAATTCAAGGGCTTATTGGATATCCAAGAAGATAGGGGCTCCGGTAGATATCTTATATCTAAACCTCTACTCGTCGCAATGCCTACCATATGTGTGTGACCCTCTAGGCCCAATATCAAGCTGGTTGTGAGTCATACTTGTTAGAACTCCATCTGGCTTAGTGAATTATTATCTTCATAAAAATTTACTTGACTCATCGACTGCGGACGTACTAGGCCACTACGCCGCAGTCCCTAGATGATATAAGAGAATCTAATCGATTAGACCTATCTATCCTTAGTTATCATGTACCTATAGACCATTATCTATCTAG